TATAGTACTATATATATATATATATATATATAGATGTATGTATGTATTTATGCATGCATGTATGTATGTATGTATGTATGTATGTATGTATGTATATATATATATGTGTGTGAGAGTGTGTGTGTGTGTTTGTGTGTGTGTGTGTGTGCATATTCTGATTTCTATATGTCTGCGACGTATTTTATATTACATATATACATCACGTTTATGTGTGCAATTATTGTCGAACTGCGCTTTCCAAAAGCCTATAGTTTCTCACCAGCACCATTCATAAACCTATCACCAAATACACAGGTATATGCTACTTGTACTTTCAACCGCAGCGAGTGCAGTGACATCGACAACTGGTTCAATTTACACGCCTGCAGACACTCGCCAGTGCTTCATACGGACGGCACCCCCTCCCTAGCTTCAGCCCCGGACAACAACTCGAGCCATGCGAGTCCAAACACAATGGAGAATGCAGTATGGTTCCTTGACGAGCTATCCGGCACACGCGTTTGTTTTGAACCCAGTCCATTATCATTGGCCTGGGGTTCTGAGTTGGCCGATAAATTGGGCATATCCCAAAGTGCCGCCTCAATCCAACTGTGTCCCCATGCCAATGATACGGATGGTTTCTTTATTGCGCGCTGGAGGCGAACGGCGTGAGTACGAGGGACTGTTCATACTACACACTCCAGGACACTTTCGTAAGGATTGGTATATAGCTTTATACACATGTGTAAGCTACTCAGGAATATAGTGAAAGTTGGCGGTTGTATGGTATGGAGGTGTGCCATAATATCGGCGTAAGCCTGACAGCTCTATATATAGCCACTAGCAGAATAGGACTCAAACTCCGCACCAGTACGTGTCCTAGAATGCAGTGCAATCGCTCATGGGTTTGGTTGTGTGAGCCCAGTATCATGCTTGTATACGGAGATGTTCTTACAAGAGGTGAACGTCGCCTTCAATAGTCTACCTACACAGGACTTTCGATGAGAATGTAGGCGGCTGATTTACCAGAGCTCACGCGTCTGCGACCTAACATCGTAAACCCAATCACAGTTCAGGTCAATCGGCGTTCCCGGTATACTGTTAGAGTGAGCTTGCCCTCTATGGCAATACATGGGCATGTGGATAGGTATAGCCTCTTGAGTTGTACCGGTACATATGCGGATAAGAATATCGTCTCAATTGTACTACTTAGCATATGCCTGATGTGAAACTAGCCGCAAATATCGCTAAAGCTAAATTTTATGCTGTATTTGCTCAAACACGACCGAGAGCATGGTTGTACAGTAAAATCAACGGAATGGCGCGAGCCCTATATGACTGCCGGCAGATACACACCCCATCGCATAGGAGACGAGAACAGCCGAACGTATACACTATCCTATACTTTCAGCTAGTACTTCCGTTGTAATTGGCAGAAAGCACTAACATCGCAACACTACTTGATCTATCATTACCAGCAGTTAAAAGTGGATAACAATAATACCACGAAGTGCTATACTTGCGGATATTTCATCCGTCATCACCAGCAGCAAATGCCAATATCCCCTTGGGTGCTACATTCTTAGACAATTCCTTTATATACCAGCAGTAAAAACTAATATCACCAAGAATACTATTATGTAGCTAGTCCCTTTATCATCCAGTAGTAAACGCTAGTATCACAAGTCCTATACCTACAGCCAGTATATTTATTGCCCTAAGCCGTAAGCAGCAAACGTTATCATCACCACAAGTGCGCTACTGCGAAGATTGGAACAGATGAGGAGGAGGAGGTTGAATGGCGCTATTACATACAAGCCATTTCACAGAAATAGTCTAACTAAACATCGTACGACCGAATCACTCGTAAATTTGAGATGTCTCTCGACGACCGAATCGCTCGTAAACCTGAAATGTCTATGATATGGTGTCTCGGTAGGCCACAAGCACAAGCGTTTCCATTCAGCATGTAATTCCCAGATGCTGTCATAACAGTATCCAAAGCTCTAACGATATGCGTACGCTTTCACGTCTGCAATAACGCACCACTACCTTCATCTATCTGTATCGCTTCAAAATCTCACGATTCGACCTCAATAATCAAAGTTGATACTACCTTCTACAACCCCTCCTCCGACGATGCTTATGTCAACACCTAAGACTCTTCCCGAATCCGATCACCCAATTCACTTCCTCATCACAGTCAAAGTGTATCTCTGTCTGCCTGGAATGCGCACACGTATATATCATTTGTCTTCGAACCGCACGATGACACGCTAATCTCAGAGTTCTAACGCCCGGGCCAGCACAGCAGAGGCATGCACCATATCGCCAACGCATAGTATGTGAATGAGCACGCCTCTGCATGCGAGCTCGTGTCTAAATGAACAAGCAGAAAACACTCGGAACACAACGTAATCGGTGTACGGTTTTGAGGACATGATAATGAATATATAGTGAACATTCAATTTTGATTTTAGGTAGGGTTTGAAATGTTGAAGGCTGCAGCTGTCGCCATTCA